GGGTGTCCTTATGGTTTATTGAGACTACCTGTATAAATAAAAGGAAAGGAAAAAAAAAAAATCTGACTAATGAAATTACCAAACAGGTCACAGTAGACCAATGAAATGGGGAAGGGGGGGTGGGGTGAGAAGGGGGGGATCCCTCCTCCCCAGTGGATCCTGACAGCAGAGCAGGAGGAAGATGAAGATGAATGACTTCCTGGTAGGCTACTACCAGTATATTTTATTTTATTTCATTTTTTAACCAGTCGTATTAAGGGCACTGTTCAGAAAAAAAAAGCCAACACTTTTATATTTGCGTATGTTACCAGTATGTATTTAATTAAAAGGGTTTTATTTAAATATTTGTTTGTAAATACCTCATGTTACAACGTGGACACCTGCAGCTTATACACAGACGCAGCCTAGATATGTACAATTTGTTTATTATTCTTTCATTTAGTGGGCGTGGCTTATATTCTGGTGCACTCAATAGTTTGGAAATTACGGTATTTGTTCATCATCTCTAAAATTAATCAACACTCATAAATTTTTTATACTCTGCAATATATTGTTTGCAAATTTTAGATGTTATATGCAACGTTCATTGCTCCACTTAGCTTGTTAAAAGCTTCTCACTTATTTATTTGTGGAATAGTTTCCATTGAATAGTTTTTAAAGGTGCCATTAGGTATGAAAAAATTTACTCACACATTCTCAGATATTTAGGCGGTTTGTGTTTTCCTTTTTTTTTTTTTTTTTTTTTTTTCTTTTTTTTTAACTTTTTTTTTTTTTAAATTTTTATTTATCAGGAGAATATATAATTGACATTACATACATTATACAAAATTTACATGACTTCTCCAATTTTTTCTTTTTTTTCCTTCCCCCTTTTCCCCCCTCCCTCCCCTCTTCCCCTCCCTCCCCTTCCCCCCTTAACCAAAAACAAGACAAAATAAGGAAAGAAAAAAAAAAAAAAAAAAGAGAGAGAGAGGGGGAGGAGGAACGAACAGGAGGGACCCAACAAACCAAAAGGAAAACAGTATTTCAGTCTTTCATTTATCCTCTAAAAACAAGTCACATGGTAATGTGATGAGTCAATCATATCAGTCTATACGCTATGAAGGTAAAGATTTTACATATGACACAAAGGGTGTCCACTTGTGGGTAAATTTTTCTGAACTACCTTTCACTGTTAGTAAAATTTTTTCCATCTTCAAGTATGATCTTACAGTATTAAGCCATTGTGATGTGGATGGTGGTGTGGGAGATTTCCAGGCGAGCAAAATACAACGTCTGGCAAGGAGAGAGCAAAAGGCCAAGACCTCCCCTTGCTGGCGGGATAGATTAAGTGTGGTCCCAGGAACTCCAAAAATAGCAATAAGTGGATCACTTTGAAACTGAATCTTAAAAACTCCTGAGAGTATGGAGAAAAAATATTTCCAAAACCCTTGCAGTTTTGGGCAGAAAAAGAACATATGACTTAAGTTGCAAGGTGAAGTCTGACATCTATCACACTGGTCTGGTATTGAGGGGAACATTTTAGATAAACGTGTTTTTGAGAAGTGTACTCTATTTATTACTTTAAATTGTATTAACTGTAGTCTGGCACATGGTGTACTCTGACGTATGCTGAGAATAACTTTATCCCACCATGAATCTGATAGTTTAACACCCAGTTCACGTTCCCATGCAGTTCTAGTTTTACCCGATGAGTCAGCTTCTATTGCCATAAGTTTTCCATAAATAATTGAAAGAGGAGATTTCAAATTGGGGCTCAAAACTAAGAGTTCAACCCATGGTGGGTCAGTAGGCAAAGTTAGAAAATTTTGAAACTGCGATGAAACGCAATGCCTAATTTGGAAGTAAAGAAACAAATGTGAAGTGGGTGCGGTTTGTGTTTTCTTTTAACGTTTAAACAATTAAAAGATCGACTTGTTTAACATATTAATTCTAAATAAATGAATACATAAAAACAGACAAGGCGTTCACATTCTTTACAGTTTTTTGTCAGTTTTTCCATCACTTGGGTCCAACTGAGCATTGCATCTTTAGTTAAAGTAGTAGTTAGGCCATTTTCATGTAAGGTTCTGTCAATTTTTTTTATGGGCCAAATCACTCAATGGGTTTAACCTCAACATCTCAGACGTTGATGAAACTTCACATATTTGTCAATTGTGATCCCATGGCGCAGTATCTCACAGCTTAGGTTAATCAGACCAGTAGTTCTTGATATATGGCTGCACACATTTTTGGCCAAAAATGGGCGTGGCCTATCTTCAAACTCAATTACCTCAGGAACTCTTGGGTTAATTTTCACGAATTTGGAGTCGTTGGAGAGGGAATTGATGAGGATCCTAAATCTAAATCTTACTTTTCTGATTTGAGTATGTCGGGGTCGATTGAGCTTTCCTTGACCTTGTGGCTCATGTGACCTTGAGGTGAACTTTCCTGAAATTAAATCCCCACTTGTTAACTAAAATATATATGTTTCAAAGTTTAGTGTTTTTGTTTAGGAGCAATTTTGATTAAAAAAATACACATCAGTGGAAATAAACTATGAAATGCATTATGAATGTACATGTACATTTATTTTATCTCTTTGGACCAAATTTATATAGACCGTAGATTAGATTAGATTAGAAACCCAATTAGGTTATTTTACCATCAACATTTGAATAATTTAAGGATTTAAATGTTCACCATATTATTTATAAAAACAATAGATAAATAAAAAACTAGGGATTGACTTGTCAACAGATTTTTTTTAGTTTCTTCATGACTTTGGTTCAACTGAGCATTGCATCTTTATTTAAAGGAGCAATCTGGCCATTTTGTAGTGAGGTTATGTCAAATCCTTATTAATATATATTACCTTACCAGTTGTTACAGCAGTTATGGAGGCAGAGGAAGAAGTTCTGCTACAGGAGTCGGTGTCACCCACCTGAACAGCATGAGGATGCAGGTTCCCTCAGCTCCACAGAGGACAGGCTGGTCCTCAGACAGAAGGTCCGCCTTGTTTGGACATGGAGGAACCAGCGCTTCTTCATCAAGCAGCGCCTTGAGCACCTTCACAGTGTCTCGACCTCCGTACGCAGTGGCATGATTGACGGCATGTGCTTTTGGCTGGAGATAAAAATGACTCTCGGTCAGAACACTCAAGAAGAAATGTCCTGCATTCAAAGAACAGAGATTAGACGTTACCCTGGCAGGACTTATCCCGGTCCCACACTCGTTTGCAGCACGTTTCTGGATCTGATGGAGCTGGAAGATCCTCTCCTTCAGCTCTGTTGTAACGTCTTCTGCTGCAGCGCAAACGGCATCTCCACTGCTGCGTCCCTTTAACAGCGCCGCCCTGATGGCCGCCAGCAGCCTGGCTCCACAAGCACTGAGTGCAACAGAAACGCAGCCCATGAAAACTCTTGCACTTTGCAACATTTAGAAGAAGAACCGTGCGTTTGTGTTCACCACAACGACAACAGGTTCAGCTGGATGACAGCAAAGCGCCTAAAGGTTTAACCAAGATCTTCTCTGAAAAAGTGAGTGCTGAATGTAACGTTTCATTCAATAACCTGTCTCCTCTATGGTGATACTGGTTCAGTTTTTGTAAATTCATCTACATCCGTCCAGCTGGCAGACAGCTGTGAACCAGAAATCCAGCTATTCTGTGTTCAAGTGATAATCTGACCATACAGATGTGGGGTTCTGGAGATAAATTATAAGGGCCTCAGTTAGAAGAATTGTGGATTATATCCAACAGGACTGAAGAGATAACAACTAGACCAACAACTAAACTGCTCAGGGGGCCACAGTTTCTGAAAGCCAACAGCTCGGGGGTCAAACATCCAGCCATTAAAATCATTATGTAAATAAACCAACGTTTACAATGATCTGTTACTTTTTAAATTTGTTTATTTTATTGCATTGAATCATAAATGCAATAAACAGAACCCAAACCCAGAACATAAATCAATTAAAAAAAAATTTAAAAAAATGAAGTGGGCCGGATTGAAGTCACCCACGGGCCGGAAATGGCCCGCAGGCCGCCAGTTGGATAGCCCTGAACTAGACTGAAGTGGTCTGAAGTCGTTTTAGAACAGGGTTCTGCAACCTTTATTATCAGAACAGCCATTTCTGCACAATGTGACACAACTGTGATCATCAACTGGTGGTCCACGGGCCGCTCAGGGTTTGTTAGACACGCAGTGGGGGAGACATTGTAAAACTAGAAATATATGATGACTAATATTTATTGATATTTTTTTACATTTTAGGACAAAAGAAAAAACAAAATCCATGCAAAACAGGAAAAATATAGTTTTTGCTAATTCTGATGAAAATTGAAACAATGCAGGCTTATGTGCATCTTCTTTCATTTGTTGAAAATCAAATTAAGCATATGGTTAAAGAGGATAAAAATTAGGCCAGTTTGTTGTAACTAATTAGTTTTACTTGTGTTAGTTTTGATCAAAGAGTGGGACCAAAGAGCCACATGTGGCCCTAGAGCTGCAGGTTGCAGACAGCTGTCTTAGAACAACACAAATATCCAAAATTTCCAAGTTGTTCATGAAACCTATTTAATCTCAGCCACCATAACAATGTAGTGCAAATTCTATGGGAATATAAAGGTTTAAGAGGTTGCAGTTGTTGTAAGATGATGGTGATGTACTTTGTGGTGGTGTAAGTTGTGTTTGGACTAGCTGTTAGCACGATAATCATCATGAGTGTAAACAAGGGTCGTCCAAAGTGCGGTCCGAGGGCCATTTGCGGCCCTTGGAGTGATTTTGCACGGCCCTCGGCTGCAATTAAAGAATAGAATCATTTTGACCCACAGGCTTAAGAGGTTGATGCAGATGTAGACTTTTAGATGTATTGGTGATACTTTTTAATATCTTTTTTAGGTTTGACAGCCAAAAAGATGAAAATAATCTTCTCAAAATGAGCGATATTAAATTCAATACAAAAATGTTGCTATAATTAATCTTTTTTTTCCTACAACAAACCTTCACTGACCAACCAAAAAGTAAAATTTTGGATAATAATTCAGAAAACTTGGCTAAATATAACAAGTGTTTTCAAAAAGATATATAATTTCAGTTGTGTTAATAATCGATGGGGAGAAATTGGACATTGTTTAAAGAATATAAAGTGGTATCATCGACATACAAGTTGATCAACGTCATCAGTGTCCCTTCAAACTTTCCATGAATCTGTTTTAGTGACTGAGCTGTTTTTCAGAACTTTGATGACCCTTTTGGGCCGTCCATGGTCCAAACGGGTGATTGAAGTTCCACCCCCTTTGTTAAAGAGCATTTACTCATTTTAGGCTTTTACCTATGAAAATAAAAGAAAATGAACTTTCAAAACACAAGAAAACAAATAATAAACCCCCCAAAAATCTAATAAATTAAACTATTTGAAAAAAAAAAAAAATGTAATGCTTATAAAGCTAATGTTCTGGATTTACAAGAATTTAAACTAAACTTTTAGCCTTTCTCTAAAATATTGTTCACGTTGTTAAAAAAGAGGAAAAAAATTATGCTTAAAAAACAACAAAAAAATTAAATTCAGATTTTTTTTGGCCCGCGAGTTCTTTCATCTAGACAGTTCTGCCCACCTATGAAAATGTTTGAACATGCCTGGTGTAAACTATTTACAAACAGAGGTGGTTCAAATATTATCTGCAACAGGTAGGATATTGTTTATAACATTTCTAGTCAAAATAACTAGATTATGGCTGTAATTCCAAATCCAACAGTAAAACAAGGAGTAACCTGGATGTACCTCGGGTCGGGAATTTCCCCCAGTATTTCTTCCAGGTTGTCTAGAAACTGGACATAGTCGGACAGGCCTTTGATGTGTTTCCTGAGTGGATCGGACTCTGCTGGAGCGTAACCCTTCCCTCCGAGCTGGATGGCTCTTATAAAAGAGGTCACAGCCTGCAAAAAAAGATGACAAAAAGGTTGCGGCAGAGATAATTACTCCACGTTTTAAGCTCCAACTTAAATTTTCTCGTATTGGAGGTGCAAATACATAAAAAAATGTAAGTTTCTTACTAAGAAGAGAGAGGTTTTGCTGTCGTACGCAGCATGCTTGATGTCAGTAAATGCCTGCCGTCCAAGAGAGCGAGTCGGGACATCGAGGGTGAGCGCCAAGGCCATGTCGTTTTTGGAGTTTACCAGCAAACTCAGGTAGGAGCAGAAAACTCGTCTCACTGCCATTTTGACCTTTTACGAGAAACAGAAGAAAAAAGGCAATCTTTTGTCATCTCAAAACCACATCCAAGATCAGTTTGATGCAGATCAGCTTAGCTGAAAACAGATTTCAAATCTGGGAATAAAAGGCAATTTCCAGCCTGGTAACAGTAAAACAAAAGAAAAGTGGTTATATTTCTATGAATCCTGAACTATTGCTTTAGTTTTTTCAGGCTCAAAAATGTGCAGAGATCTTTGTTTTGAACTGTTAAAATAGACAGTACTGTAGCTTCCTGAGTACAACCCTTTAAAGCAGCACTCTGCTTTAAACTCCTCCAAGACGACATCACCATATAAGTGGGAATACAGCAGCAAGATTTTGTGAAAGCTCATAAATTTGCACGTGACAGAAAAGGAAGCAGACTGTATTACAGAAGCTCCCCTCTGCACCGTGTTTTAAACCGTTGTGTGGTAATTTAATTCCCACTGCACTCCTAAAGTGCAGATGTGGAGTTCCTGTCAGTGAGAACAGGATGACTTCTAGACAGAAATGATTGAAAATACTGGAAAAGATTTTCAGGTTACTTAAACAACTTATAATGGCAGAAGTGGAAAGAGGGGATTAAAAAAAATAATTAAAAAAAATAAAGCAGGCCTACCTGTAAGCTGCAAGACCTGCTTCTACTAGATGGCGTTGAAGTGACTGATGAGTCTGACAAATCTGGGACTTCGACATTACCCGTTAGAAACTCAAACAGCTGGATCTTGGCAAAAGAATAAAGAATATGACAGAGAGATAAATTCATTGAACCTTCGAAGCCACAGTCTTCTACAATCAAGTTGATTTCATCCAGCTCCTGCTCACCGGGCTCACAGGCTCCTCTGGGTCAGAGCCCACTACTCTCAGCTGTTTGTACATGGAGAGGACGTCAACCAGATCGACGGCGTTGGAGTGTTTCAGGACAGAGTCATACGCCTCCAGGATGAGATCATAGTTCTCAAAGTGTGCAGAGCTGGGGGGTGGCAAGTGGAGTTTGCCTAACAATAAGTGTTTCCAGGCCAACAGGACGTCGCTCAGAGCCACTCTGAACTCTCCGCCACGCTGTCACAGGAGAGGAAGAAGACAACAAAAGCTGTAATTACTAATGGCCTGCAATCAAGCAATTTGAAAAGCAGAAAGACCTTCTGCTACTGTCCAAAAAAATAAAATAAAATAATAGCAATGAGCTGTCTCAGTTGGAGATGGAATCAGTTAATGATGGGAAGACAATTAGTCTGATGGTTCATTGAACTCCACTGTGATGATGATGTGGAGTAGTTTTAAATAAAGAGGGATAAACCGTTACCTGCTTATTAACTTCTGCCATGGCCAGCTGCAGCGTCGTCAGCATGTCGTCAGCTCCATGAATGGTGGTCCTCTCTGACTGTAGAAGTCTGTGGCTCTCCCTCCTGAAGGTCTTCACCATCAACTTGAGACGGTCCCCTAAAGCTTCCATGATTGCCTTAAACAGATGTGGCATAAATTACTCACCAATCTAGTTTATTTGCCTGTTTCAAGAACAATTAAACAATATAAAAAAATACTAAGGCTTGTAAATTTGAAATCAAATATACGAGGAAAATAAAATACTTATAAATATCCATCTACTTGATGCTTTATAAACTAGTCAAACATCACGTTTACCTAAGTGAATTAACTTACAATGGATTTCTTCAGATAAATACCGTTCGTTATGTCTTTTTTTTTCTTTCTAGTGTCGACATGTACTGTTCGCGACTATTTATATAAAGAAATCACGAAAAATTTTAGTTAAAACGATTCTAACCTGTTATGTTGTTCCAGCCTTCAAAGTCCACAAGGAAGCGACTGTTTTGAATTTTTAAATCTACAGTGACGTTTGGTTTCTTCCGGCCAATCACCTTGGAGGAGACAAGTGGGAACTTCCGTTTAATTAAAATGTTATGAAACGTCCCATTTTACAGTTTTTAACATATTAATATAAACTTATTTATCATTAGAATATATAAAATGTGTTTTTTCTTTATAAGGCTCAAAACTAGATATATATTTGTGTGTTAGATTTCCCATATACCCCCTTATTTTCTTAATAGTTGGTACAGTCCGTGTCGTACCCGGAAAAAGACTACAAGCATCTACAACGCGCGCTGTGTTCGATTCACCGTTTTCATTAAAATCTACTTAGGTAAAGTAGTTACATTGTTACTATATTTAAAGTAAAATTAAATCCCATTTTAAATAAATTATTAGTGAATTGTCAGCATGAGTAATAAAAGCTGAAAATAGCGAATAAAATAGCACTTGGACTTTTTAGCACGCTGCTACAGTGCTAGGTGATAGTTTCACCTAAACGTGTGGAGAGTAGAGAAATACTTCACTTAAGATAAATTATGCAATATTATAAGCACTTTGTACCCAAACATCCCGGATACAAGCGGTCTGGTTGGAACTTTCGATTGAATCTTTTTCAAAATCTTTATTTTACCAGGACTTCAGATTTGGTGTGCATTGATTTAGCTTCTTTCTGTCCATCATGTCATCCTTTTAAGGTGTTTGATATTTGCCGAATTAAAGAGTGAACAATATAGTTGCTAACTTAACCCCCAATTATTCCTCACTGTTAGCTCTTTTGGTTCATCTACGATGATGTGCAAAAACTAACAAATAATTGAACAAGATCTGGTCTTCAGCCTCATCATTCTGACCCTGACTGTTCCTGGTTTAAAAGTGATTTAAGAAGAAATGTTTGTGCTTAAATACAATAACTGCATGTGCAGTTGTTCATTGTGATACTGGTTCATTGAAGCATAGGAAATGCCTGTTTCATAAGTCATTTTAAAACATAAAATAGTGTATATATATATATATATATATAAAAACAAAAGAAAACTTCTTTAACTTTTTTTTAAGCAGGCAGATCACTGGAGGCAGCCTAACATGAATGTTTTGAAAAAAGTCAAAGTGGTGCAGTATATTCCAGTCATCATCTTGATATACTGTAGTCAAATTCTGAAGATTAAATCCACTCGGATTACACCTACATTTTTATATCGTACTTTTGCGTATTGTATTTGTCAAGATGCTGAATACATTACTCAATAAATGGTCAATCGGTTCTTAAATTGATGCATTGCAATTTAAAATAATGGGCAAGCATACAGCAAAACTCCAATAGCACTTCCAGGAGTAAAATAAATCCAAATCAAATTGTCAAACTGCAGTATTTAAAGCTATACGCACAGCAGCAGGAATCAAATATGTGATTAAACAATAGTTTTTCATACTCGGTAGGGTGTCTTTCACCATGAGAAGATGTTACAGTAAAGCCTGTCGCAATCATTTGTTAATTCATAATTATTTTTGTCACGGTTATTCAAGAAGATTGTCATCATGTTTATAAAATCAACATTTCCTTGCATGGAACCAGCTAGGAGGAATCTATTAAGCAGCAAACGGGCATTTGGGGAGTGGTGGCGCAGAGGTTAGAGAGGTGGACTTGTGATCCGAAGATCGCCGGTTCACGCCCCGGCCCCGACAACATCAAAAATTGTGGGTGGGGCAGATGAAACACCCACACTTGCCCCCACCCTCATTCGCCCCACTCTGGGCCCATGAGCAAGGCCCTTAACCCCCACCATGTGCTCCCTAAAAAAAACACAAAAAAAAAACAGGTCTCTCTTGAAAATGAGTTCTCGTGGCTCAATGAGACTAACCTGGATAAATAAAGGCTAAATGAAAAACAAAGAAAAAAAAAGATGCTGCTTTAATTGTTATTAAACAGGTTGTGCCGTTTCTGTCATTTGTACAATGAATTTGACTATATTAGATTATATGTGTAACAAGAGTGAGAATCGAATAAATCAGGGGTCCTACGCAGTCTTGAAAATAATCATTTGCATTGACATTTTGGACATCAGAAACGACCCATACGGTGATGGCTATATCTAAAATGAGTTTGGATAAATAGGGCTTTTGGAAAAGGAAAACGTATAAACTGATAATTATATATTTTTTGACAACAGACTTTTGTCAGCTAAAGCTTTAGCCATGGTACTGATTTTTTTTTAGGCAATCCCTGAAGGGAAAAATGTGGTCCAAGCATTCACATGGATGTTAAATTAACATGCAACAATTACTCAAACGATTTAAGGAACATATCTGCGTGCTGTATCAGCTGATCACCTTGTCAAACCACCAAGACTGGCTTGTCTGTTCACTAATATATTTATATATTTCAGTGACAACCTGGTCCAAAAACAGCTTTACCAGCATACACAACATGCAGGACGACTCCGCTCACTGTCCTAGTTACACGGTGACATGTGAGGACTACGTCCACGTGGTTGAGTTCAGTCCTTTCAGCTCCGGTGTCCCTGCCTCTCTTCTGGCCTATGGTGGAAACCAGTATGTGGTGGTGGGCACCTGCCTCTTCCAGGTTAGAGGTTCAGCTTCACACAGCCGGGCTTAACCATTGTTTTTATTTGTCATCAAATATGAGTTGTCTCCCACAGGAGGAGGATGTGGAGGTGGAGGGAGTTGAATTCAACGTTCTTCGAGCTTTTCGTCACGAGTTACGTGTCGATTCTCTGGCTTGGAGTCCCGAGTCTCGACTGGACAGAATACCTACTATCAGGTAGATTTTACACACCTTGACTAGTAAACCTGTTTATCTGGCACACACAATGCACAGGTTTCAGGCAGGAGAAAACGGGCGTCCATGTGCAGTTTATTTTGCTTGAGGTTCCATTTAGCTTGGCAACTGGTTGTTGGAGCAATTTGTTTATAACTTTTGGTAGAAGTTGATTTTTTAATTTTTTTTTTTTTTATTATTTGCAAAATCTGTGCATTTTTATTAGTCTTTGGCTCTTATGTGACATACTTTTAAGCTTTAACTTAGCAGACAATAAACAACAAAAATTGTTTAGAATAATACCCCGTTGTGCACAGAACCTAAACGAGCACAAGGAAGCAAGCCTTTCTCTTTTTTGTAAGTGGAAATCGAACATAAGCACAACTTTATTTTCCAGTCTGCATCGTGAATATCTTTAATTTAAGAGACTGCAGGCAACAAATGTGGACCACCTGTTGCCACTGCAATTTTTCCTTCTTCTTTTTTTTTTATTGTTGTTTTTAACGATGAAGATTCTGATTCTAAACCAGGCTGTAATTCTTTAATTTGCTTTGCACCAGCTAACAGGACAACCACCTTTCCAACAAGATTTTAATTTAAAATAAGCTTAGTGATTGTCCAAAATAATGTTTTTTTCAGATGGAAATAAACCCTCAGCTTTGTTGTTGGCTGGTTAAATTAATTTACTGCATTTATACACATGTCCAAACACAAGCTAACTATTAAATATTTATTTACAATTGTCCCCTGCTGTCATTTTATTTGGCCTACACGTTATCTAAATGTAAAACTGCCTCCTGTTTAAGTGGCAGCTGGAACTATAAAGAAATACCTTTAGTCTGTACTGAGATCAGCTTTTATTTGAAATTTCAAATGAGGTTGAACGTGTTTGTTCATCATAGAAAACAACAAATGTACAGTGGTACTTGAAAGTTTGTGGACTCGTTTTAATTTTCTATATTTTTGCATAAATGTGATCTAAAACATCACATTTTCACACAAGTCCTAAAAGTAGATAAAGAGAACCCAGTTAAACAGATGAGACAAAAATATTAAACTTGGTCATTTATTTATTGAGGAAAATGATCCAGTATTAAATATTTGTGAGTGGTAAAAGTATGTGAACCTTGGTGTGACCCCCCCACCCCCCGGTGCAGCAATAACTGCAACTAAACATTTCCAGTAACTGTTGATCAGTCCTGCACACCTTGGAGGAGTTTTGTCCATTCCTCTGCACAGAACAGCTTCAACTCTGGATGTTGGTGGTTTCCTCACATTAGCTGCTGCTTCAGGTCCTTCCACAACATCTGGATTGGATTAAGGTCATGACTTTGACTTGGCCGTTCCAAAACATGAACTTTATTCTTCTTGAACCATTCTTTGGTAGAACATCTTGTATGTTTAGAGTCATTGTGTTGCAGCATGAGTCATGACCCCCCTTCTCTTGAGATTCAGTTCATGGACAGATGTTCTGACATTTTCCTTCAGAGTTCTCTGATATAATTCAGAATTCATTGTTCCATCAATGATGTAAGTCGTCCTGGCCCCAACGCAGCAAAACAGCCAAACCATGATACTACCACCACCATGTTCCACAGATGGGATAACGTTCTTATGCAGGAACGCAGTGTGTTCCTTTCTCCAAACAGAACTTTTTTCATTTAAACCAAAAAAAGTTCTGTTTTGGTCTCATCCGTCCACAAAACATTCTTCCAACACGTGATCTTTATCAAACTGCAGACGAGCAGCCATGTTCTTTTTGGAGAGCAATCGTTTTCTTCTTTAAACCTGCCATGAACACCATTGTTGTTCAGAGTTCTCCTGATGGTGGACTCATGAACATTAATGTGAGAGAGACCTTCAGTTGTTACAAGTTACCCTGGAGTCCTCTGTGACCTCACTGTCTATTCAACGTCTTGCTCTTGGAGTGATCTTCGTTGGGCCACCACTCCTGGGGAGGGGAACAATGGTCTTGAGTTTCCTCCATTTGGACACAATCTGTCTGACTGTGGATCGGTGGAGTCCAAACTCTTTACAGATGTTTTGTAACATTTTCCAGCCTGATGAGCATCAACAGCTCTTTTTCTGAGCTCCTCAGAAACCTCCTTTGTTCCTCCATGATCCACTTCCACCAACATGTTGTGAAGATCAGACTTTGATAGATCCTGTTCTTTAGATCAAACAGGTCCACTCGCACCTGATCATCATCCATTGATTGAAAACACCTGACTCTAATTTCACCTTCAAATTAACTGATAATCCTAGAGCTTCACATACTTTTACCATCACTAATATGTAACATTGGATCATTTTCCTCAATAAATAAATGATCAAGTTTAATATTTTGTCTCAACTGGGTTCTCTTTATCTACTTTTAGGACTTGTGTGAAAATTTGACGTTTTAGGTCATATTGATGCAGAAATATAGAAAATTATAAAGGATTCACAAACTTTTTTGGTCTCAGGTGCTGGATCTTTATAAAACCTGAAGAATCTTTGCAGACTGCTTCAAACGACCTTTCCTTTACAGTTGTGTCATACAGACATCAATACAGAGATTTATTTTTCCCGCATTGACTCAGGCCGTCTAATGTCATTTATTTTTACCCATCCGTGATGCGTCTGTAGCTCAGGTGCCAGCTGTTGTGTAAGAACTCATCCGATTGTTTCTGTAGGTTTAAAAAGTGTCAAACTATGCTTTTACTTCCGCCTCAGAAACCTGACCTGTGACTTTTAACTTACCGTGATCATTTTTAGAGCGCATGTTGTGTAACAGTAGTCATCGGCACCTCTCACTGCCACACGAGGATCTGAGGCAAACTTTAGGCAGGAGGGACGAAACCTAGAGGACTAGAAATTAGACAGAGTTTCCACCTAATTGGAGCTGTGGGTGAGAAGGATCTGCGTTCTCCCAGAAGGCATTAGGGCTTTCTGTAATTGAAACGGAAAGGCAACGATAATTCCTCGCCACAACTTGGTGGTTTTACTTCGAAGGACCCTTGAGCCAGCGCTGTGACGTGCATACATGTTATTGCGCTGATGAGAACCCGCTCAGGTTCAAGCTCTCCCCGCAGTCGGCACGTAGCTGCGCCTTCCAGGAAAAGTACAACGTTCTCATGGGCCTCGTGAGAGGAAAGGGGCCTCGAGCTGCCACCACAGCATCTTGTATTAAAAACAAGCCCGAAGACTAATAAAACCACAGCCTTCTACCTCACACACACTCATTTTTCATCCTTGGCTGTCATCTAGTAAACACAGTAGCCAACATGCTAAACAACTGGCTTTTCTTGGAAAGCTGACTCTAAAGAGAAGAGAATAAATGAAGGGGAGAAAGAGCAGCATCACATGAAAGGCCTGCAGACGGACGCAAACCATGAAGGGTACAGTTCATGGTTTGAGGATCCGATCCCAGGATGTCCTCAGACACCAGGAAACTGAGAATCTACACTAATCAGTAAATTACATGCCTTTAAAATCTAAAATCACAACTTTGCATTTTTTTTTTAAACTTCCAGTATTAAAGTATAGTGTAATCTACTTTTTTTTCTCAATTCTGCTATAATCTAAGATGTTTAAAGTTCCTCAAAATATTCGAGGTAGAGATTAGAGTTGTTTTCAAGGTATATTCAAGCTTTACATCATATCTGAACACAGTCCTAATAAAGAAAACAACATTAATAAACAGAAACAGTTTTGATGTGTCACTGAATGAGTCATTTACACCCATAGAAGTTCACAGCCTTATCTGTTATTTGTGCCTGTACCCATCGTTGCCATAACCGTTATTTTTAAATGGTCAAATCTGATTTATTGCTCACTGTTCTGCATGCCAAAAGTTTAAGCTAAGGTGTGATATCTGTTATTGCTTTGAGTCTGTGTTGAAGATGACTCTCATCTATTACTGCCACAAATTTTGACTTCAGCATCTGTAAAACTGAGTAATGGCCAGGCTTTTGTAGCAAAGCTGACATTTACCATATTTTTCACCATATAAGTCACATTTTTTTTTGCATAAATGTGTAAGTTCTGTGACTTATACACGTATTTTTTCCCCCATATTTATAACCAATTTTTGGCTGAGATTTGACGGTTTTGTTCATTCTGACATGGAAAATATCGGACACTACCATTTTCAGCCACTAGAGGGTGGTCGAGTAGCAAAGAGTCCCATTAATAGGTAGAAGTGGCTATTAATGAGACACTTGGCTTGCCATAGAGCCATTTTCATCTTGCGCTGAAACTCCTGGTGCAAACATCAAATCAGCTGCATTTCACCGCGCCGCACAGCTGAAATGCAGCTGATTTGACCATTAAAGTGCATTTATTAAGGAAAAGTTCAACTGAGACACACCTTTACTGTAATGTCAAGCAAACAAATAATTGTTTTAATTGTTAATCTTGTTAAATTCTTGTTAAAGTCCTCCCGTGCAAGCTCCCGCCGCCACCGTTTGGCAGCCAGTTGATTTTCGGCACAACACCGGCTCATGTTTCCGGACGATCAACGGTGACACATATCAACTTAACTTTTTTAGATTTTTCTACCTGGATTATTGAGCATGCATCAGGATACTTGTGCTTCATGGAGCAAAAGTTTCCCCTCCCCGTTTCATTGGCTCGACTGTGACCTGTTCTGTAATTTCAATGGTCAGATTTTTTTTTTTTACCTTTATTTAAACAGGTAGTCTCGTTGAGTCACGAGGACACACCCACCAAGAAGAACACCCGGGTGTGAAAAGCTAAATGTTTTTGGCGGCAGGAAGATCGTTACCTCGCCAAAAAAAAAATAAAAAAAAAATCCATAAATTAGCCGCAGCATTGTATAAGCCACAGGTTTCAAAGCGTGTGAAAAAAGTAGTGGCTTATTGACCGGAAATTACGGTAGATGCGACTTATACGTAGGCCTGTGACAATAACAAATTTTGCTGTGCGATTAATTGTCTCAGAGATTATTGTAATAAGCAATAATATTGTTTGAAATTTAACAATAATTAATTGTCAAATTTTAAAAGAAATCTTGATTTGTTTGGAGTGTAGTATCTTTTTTTGACCACCTGATGGCAGTATACGACTGTCTGAACCAAAGGATGGATAGTTGAGTGTCTAAGAAAAATGAGAGGGACATGGGCTGACATGGTGACTTGGCAGACACTCTGTGATTTGAACTCTTTAGCAGAGCATTTTTCACACAAAGCTTTTAATAAAAAAAATCAGTAAACAAGTTCTCAGCTTCTTTTTGCAGAGAAAAAAACAATTTTTTTACACGACGACACGGGTTTCAACTGTGAATTTTGGAGCTTCGACAAGATGGCGATTTATTCCTGAGGTCGACCTGTTAGCTTAGCTTCTCAGCTTAGCTGCTTTTAACGATCCCAAAACGTGATTTTGGACGGTTAAAACAGATTTTAAAGAGAAAGGGAGGGGTCAGTGAAGAGCACCGGAGTTGAGTCGTGTCTTCAGTAGAAAGAGAGACACGAAGAAACGATAAAGCGATAAATGAAAATGAGGTTGATTATTTTCATTCATCAGGCAATTAATGATTTATTGTTTATCGTGACAGGCCTACTTATACGGTGAAGTGACTTATTTATATATTTTTCCACTTTATTAGACATTTTAGGACTGATGCGACTTATACGGCGGTGCAACGTGTACGGCGGAAAATGCGGTACTTATACTAAAACTTGATTTTGTTTAGTTTTTGTGGTAAAAATGGTTCGGGGCGAAGCTGCACTGCCTTTATGTAAAACCCACTCGTTGGTGTCTCAGATCCTGTCCCAATACAATCTAATCTGCTGGAGCAGCAAAAGCCTGAACCACGTTAAGGGTGTTTGTAGTGACATCAAGCCAAATCCATCTGTGCCTGCGCCTGAAAATGTGTGAACCGCTGTCTGTTTATTCTGCTGATATGCGTGTATTTTTCTTGTCATAAGTGAGTTAGTGTAATTGTGTGAGAAATTGCAGGCGCTGGTATATACGAGGGCTGATTAGAGGGAAAAGTCCTCTCCCTGGCTCCACACCGGGTTGCGAACAAAGACACATGGCATGAGCGATCTTGTTTTTCTCCGTGTTTATCTTTGCGTGCAATTAGAATCCCTGGCGGTGTTTCCACCCATCACATTCCAAGTTCCTGCCACACACAGACTCTTGATCTGAGGTGTCAGCCAAGGCGGCTGCAGGCAACGGAGATGTCGTGTGTCACTGGGTCAGTTTTCATGTTCTCCTCTTTGTTTATTGTTGAATCTCCTCTTTCTTTCCCTCTTCCTCTCCTTTGCAGATTGTGCACGGCGGCAGCTGATCGAAAACTACGCCTGCTGACTTCTGATCTTCAGGAGCGGCATGAAGTCAAGGTAGCGCAACATCTGGAGGACGATGGACTTGCCTTTGTTTTCAAGCATCACGGTGTCCCCACTTTGAGCAGATATCTGCTACTTGGTTAAACAGGAAGCGGAGCTGCAGCAGAAGTAGCAAAGCTTAATAGAAAACAGTTGTTTGTGTTTACTTCTAATCGCCTGTTGTTGCCTAGGTGATGGAGGGCCACACCAGCTACATTAACCATTTGGTGTTCGAGCCCACAGAGGGGAAACAAATCGCTTCCGTCAGCGATGACCACACTTGCAGGTCCGACTGTTTTATTTCCGCATGTGTTTGTGTTCGTTCCCAGCTTCTGATTTTCAGTTCTGTTCTTTGTTAATGGTGCAGAAAGTCCTGACTGTTTCCACAGTGAAACATGACGCTAAGCACAACACGCGCCAGTGTGACCGTGCGTAAGCAACAGAGCTGCTTTGTAGCTTTTCCTAGCTAATTGGTTAAAAATGGAATTACAATTAGCTGCAGAAAGATTTTCCCCTCTAAAAGGGAGGGGGTTAAGGTTCCTAAATTTTCCTTTTCGATTAGAGCTGCAAGAGGGGAAATACTGTGTCAGTAGTGAGGGTCAGAGCAAGGACGACCCCTGAACTGAAGAAGTTCACATGTTTAGTTTTTACTTTGGATTGCTTTTGTAGCCACATAGCTGCTAGTTTCAGCTGTTTGTATTTGTTTAATTCAAAAATGTCAAAGTCAAGGCCCGCGGACCACATCTGGCCCTTGTTGACATCTTTTCTGGCCCCCATGATTATATTTTGAATTTAAAGGTTTTTTTTTTATTGCTTCTCAATTCACTTAAAAAAACAGCATACTTCATTTAGTGCAGACTTATGACGGTTAGCTAACGTTGAAGCCATGAAATGTTGGATTTTTCAGTAATCGTTCATTTTGATGTGCAAAGATTGGATGCAATGGCATAATGTCACGCAGATCTGAACTATCCATCCATCCATCATGTTACGCTTGTTCCAAAGTCGGGTCGCGGGGGCAGCAGCTTGAGCAGGGAGGCCCAGGAATCTCTTTCCACAGCCACCTCTTCCAGTTCTTCTGGGAGGACTCCAAGGCGTTCCCAGGCCAACAGAGAGACATAGTCCCTCCAGCGTGTCCTGGGTCTTCCCCGGGGTCTCTTCTCCGTCTGACATGCTCGAACCACCTCAGCTGGCTCCTCTCGATGTAGAGGAGCAGCAATCTCTTCCAGATAACTGAACTTCTTTCTCTAAGGGAGAGTCCAGCTACCCTGTAGAGGAAACTCATTTCAACCACCTGTATCCACAACATTCTTTCGGTCACTACCCAGAGCTCGTGACCATAGGTGAGGGTAGGAACATAGACCGACCAGTAAATGGAAAGCTTTGCCTTACAGCTCAACTCCCTCTTCACCACAACGGACCGGTACAGAATCCTCATTACTGCAGATGTTGCACCAATCCGTCTGTCAATCCATCTTTCCCTCACTCGTGAACAAAATCCCAAGATACTTGAACTCCTCCTTTTGAGGCAGAACCTCGACCCGAACATAACAATCCACCCTTTTCCGACTGAGGACCATGGCCTCAGATTTGGAGGTGCTGATTCTCATCCCAGCTGCTTCACTCTCAGTTATGAACCACTCCAGTGAGAGCTGAAGATCACGGCACGATGACACCATCAGGACCACATCATCTGCAAAGAACAGAGATGGAATCCTGAGGCCACCGAACCTGAAGCCCTCGTCCTCCTGGCTGCACCGAGAAATTCTGTCCATAAAAGTTAAGAACAGAATCAGTGACAATGGGCAGCCCTGGCGGAGTCCAACTCCCACCCTGAAGGGGTTCGGCTCACTGCTGTGAACCAAACTCTCGCACTGATTGTATAAGGACCCAACAGCCCATAGCAACGAGCCCAGATCTGAACTAGTATAACAATATACTGACCAGGTTTTGCTGGTTATTTTAACTAATAAACAGAACATTTCTGAAGCGTTAATAAAAACACATGGCCACATGAGGCTACATGTAAAGGCTTATGTTTTCATATAGGAAAAATAGGTGGAAAATGTGCACATAATACATGTACACAGTATAATAAAATTAGTTGCAGTGTCATTTTCTGGCCAACATTACATTCTTATTGAATAATTCAACGGTTATGTGTTCTTAGTGTTTTTACAATTGAATAAACAATACTTGTCATATAAATATTTAAAATCCTTGTAAATGTACTCATGTATTAACAATGAAAGCTGCTACAACTGAGGAAAAACCTGAAAGCAAGTTTTTAATGTTGCATTTTTTTTTTTGACCCCGAAATCAGTTTATGTGCCGGCTGTTAATTTGATGCTGTGAAACACTTGGACGCATATCAGGACTGGGATCTGTCCACGTCTGTGATCGCATCAAGAAAAAAAAATAAAAAATCCTCCACTCCCATCTCCTGAACCTCCTCCCCTTCCTCTGCTCAGCGTCCAGAGAAAACAGGAGTGCGCTCCATCTGCTGAAAGATTTAAATTCTGTCATGTTGAGAGAATACGGGACACGGGAGTAAGACGGGCGGAATGAGGGATGGATCAGGTTAACAAGAGGGGACCGACCTTCCAGTCAGCCCACACAAACGGAGCCTCGGTCTGAGAGGAGGGAAGTGGTCCTGCAGATCGGGAGGGAGGTTTATGTCAGCATGTGGAGGTTCACGACCTCGCCGTCAGTCTGTTGGCTTTGGCAGCAGCGCCTCCACTATAAGTTTGCTTAGTTTTGTCATCGCCGTCCCCTGCAGTGTCGGGGCCTCTGCTGCAACCTGACGCTGCAGTATCTAGGTGGGGAACCAGACTGCACTTCCTCAGGCTTGATGTAGTCTTAACAGCTCAGCGGGTGGCTCTGACAGGGTGGGGTCTGTGAAGGAATGTGCCACCTAGAGGTCAGAAGGGCACACTGCAGGGTCCTGAGAGGATTTAGAGTTGACTGGGTTCACTGCTGAACTCGGATAGCTGCAACAGTTGTTATATATGTGGTTTAAATCACTTTATCCTCATCTCTGTTTTGATTCATCACTCTAAATGGATTTTATTTCAACAGTTCATATATATAAATGTATATATTATGTAACATCTGAGTATAATGAAACAAAGTACAAATTTTGGATTTTTTTTTTTAACTTAAATTAGAGGAAAAATATTAGTTAAAAAAATAATAAAGATCTGATCTGAACAGCTAGCAACATTATTTCTGCAAAGCTGACAATATAAATGTTTAACCAGTAAATTAGAATTGCTTGAAGACGGCAACATTCCACTTTGGTCCTGGCCCGGCTCAGACTAGCCATTAGCTCATCAATTTGGTCGAATTTTTCAAACTGAGGTTCAAAGAGCTATAAACAACAGATAAGATACTATTGATTTTTAATAACTCGTATTAACTCGTAGATTCCAAGATGGCCGCGCTCAGCTGAGTTGCAGCTTCACAGGCTCCCGGTGAGCTCGATCTTTTTTTGTTCCTGTTGTTTTTGTTTTAACCCTTTTTTTTTTTTTTTTGCATTTACAATGTACATCCACGGTACGGGTATGACTGCGACACACTAGTGGAGTTTTCTATGTCGCTGCCTTGCCGTTCTGCTATCGTTGTTCAGTCCTTCCAGCCTCAGGCTCGGGTCTGACATGGCAGCTGTCTCCATGATCCTCCATTTGCCTGCACGGACCAAGCTCTATGGACCCGTTTGGTTCTGCGGGGAAACCTGAATGTTCTCCATCTGCCGGATTCGGTTCTGGAAGGCTGTCTGGGAGGCAGCTGCTGCGGTCCTTATCATCATGCTGCTGAGGGACCTGCTAACAAGACCACGCTGCTAATGGTACATGGTGCCAACTGGAGCATATTGCTAAGATAACCTCACTGTCATCAGAACCACTCTGCCAGTAGAACCATGCTGCTGTAGATTTTTTTTTCTTCACTTTTGGTTCCTTGTTTCTGTATTTTTGTTGCTTTGAATAAATCCCAGTTTATGTTAGTTTAGTTTATGTTACGCTCGCATTAAGCATGTAAATTATAGCCGAACAGAACCTATGAGAATCGTGCTGCTGTTGTTCGCTGTATTATTTTGAACTAATAGTGACTGGCATATATCTTAGACCTTTAAGCGTACCGTTAGGCATTCATTTAGCGTATATCTTCGTTTACAGTATATCTCAGATCCTTATTTACTTTGTTTTTACCCTTTATATTTTTGCTATTGTTGGATGTAACTGGGACCCTGTGTACACAATTTCATTCCACTACACATGTGATGCGAATGACAAATAAAGAAACTCTGACTCTCTGGTAACTTTCCGCACAAAAATGCCACTTCAAAATGTCACCTCGGTCTATTTAATGTTTTTTTAGAAGCATTGTGTGAATCTTTTCTCGCTATATTAAAGAGTGAAATCTAATTTTCGGGATACGTTAATATTTGAATGTTAAAACTGTTTTCCTTCGGTGATATTACTAGGAAGCTTGAAGCGCTTTACACAAGATGGGGGTCTGGCAGGACAGACGACCCTGGACCTGAAAGTCCCAGGTTCGATTCCCAGTCATTGCACATCTCGTGGTGTCTCTGAGCAGCACACCCTATCCCCAATTGCTCCCCAGGCGCTTTCAATAGCTGCCCACTGCTCCACCTGGTGGTGGATGGGTTAAATGCAGAGATCCAATTTCGCCATTGTATGGGAATATACAATGATGACAATACATACCACATTAATATTATTATTATTACAATCTGTGCCTTCATTTCCCCATTCGCACACACATTCATACAGCACTCTACTACATTATTAAGCTAATCTGAGTCAGTTATTCTATTGTCTAATCCAGGCGTGGTCAAACTATGGCCCACTGGGCCTCATTAGTCTTTTTAATCCAGTCTGCTGTACATGAACAAAAAAAAAAAAAAAAACTGGCGCACTCCCGACATTTTGACCTTTGTTGACTTGGGGCGTGGCGTGCATTCATGTGATCCTTGGATGATCCCCGATGACCTAAAGTCACGGCCATCTGCACAATTGGGCTCTTTATTTAAGATTAAAATCCAAGCTGATGTTGATCAACTTTTCTAACACGTCTAAGTCACTCGTGGTCAATTCAATTTTAAAAGAAATTTTATTTGAGGTAAAAATTGACCCGAGTCCACTCGGAAAGTTGTTTTTCCCCGATGTTTCTGACGCGACATGAATGCAGCATCACTCTCCACTTCCCTTTTTCCACTTCATGCATTGAACCCTTCTGTACGGTTATGAAATAAATCCTTTAAAAAATATATTTTGTACAGTGAGCCTTGCATGTTCATGCTTTGCTAAATGCCAAAACTTTTTATGTAATAGCTTCTACATGGCAGTCAACAGAAACACTCCATCCATCTGCTCCTGGCCCGGCCCCTCTGTCGGATTTTAAAACCCGATGTGGACCGGGACAGGAGTCAAAAGGTTCGCCCACTCTTGATCTAATCAGTGTCACATTCATACACCAGTGGGCACATAGGTGGTAAGGGCCCCTTTAACATGTGACTGTATACTGATGGAATCTAACCTCTTTCTTCTTGGAGATCGACCGCTTTAACCTCCCGAGCCACAGCTGCCCCTGGGATGACCAACACCCCCTGCCTCCCTACTCATTTAATCTTCTGACAACTCTACTATATTTAGGGGATAGCCCTTTGGTCATTAGCTCATTCAATTCATTATCCATTTATATTCAAGTCTCAATTAATCTTTGACGTTTTGCTTCCGGTTTAACATAAAATCATTGAGTTTTCTCAAACTTGAATGTTTTCAAGAGGTTTGACAATGTCTTAGAACAAAAACAGGTTTTTTCTCAGATGAGTCATGTGCCAGTCTGAACGGGTTGTGTCTGCTGAATGATGGGCTTGTCCGAAGTTTATAGTTTTGTCCACAAGACTTAGAAAAGTTCTGCATGAACGCTGTCCGTTTCTCGATGATGGATCATGTTTGACACCGGAAATAAACGGGAGTCTGCGAGTCCTTTTTGAATAGATGCTGATGGAGATATTCGGCTCTGGGATGCATTTATACTGCTCAGCTCTCTTCCAATAAAGCCACCTTTTGATTATTTCCTCAGATTGCGCAGCACATAGAGATTTTGGTTTCCTCCACTTGTGATAAACACAAAGAAACCCATCCCCCCATTTATTAACACAGCACAGGACTTATTAATGTTGTCGACTGATGTAGCGGTGTGTACGTGAAGTGTTTTTGTGTCTTTCATCTCTTTCGGCAGGGGTTATGTTTTTCTGCTCTCCATTGCAGGGCGGAGTGGTTGACCACGGTTTGGCCGTCTGTGGTGTAGCGTACCGCTGAGCTCTGCTCGGCAAGTGGTCTGAAAGAACCGGGTTTAGTTTTTATTTTCCTGGTGTGGTCAGGTGGCTTTCTTCTTGGCCTCACAATGCAAAGCAGGCCTGAGTTTACACAGGCAGGAACATTGTTCACCGTCGTTTTCATCTAAGACGTCTTCGCACTTGACATAGATGGTGTTTGGAACGGCTCCCAGGAACTCTCACTGGCCGGTTGACCTCCACCCTGATCTTTTCTTCTGGCTCAGGGGCTGTGAAAATGTGGCTAACCGCAGATCCAGGTTGCAGGAACAGCAGCTGCCTCTGCATCCAGTCATACGTTCTGCTTAAAAGAGTTAAAACAAGAAAAGCCAGACCCGGCTTTCTGTTTCACTTCTATTAAAGCAGGAAGCCGTTCAACTTCTCACCGCCGCTCATCCTCCGCTGACGTCCGTTCTGCTCTCTGGACGCCAGCGGGCCGCCCACAGCGTAACGCTACCCCTGCTGTCGTAGTTCGGTGTAACGTGAGGCTGACGTTTTCCTCTGCGAGAGGAGTCCATAGAGTCTGTCTATCCTCACAGCTGAGGGCCCCTGATCCTGAGAAAGAGCTGTTTTTCCCAGGAAAAGCAAGAAGACTTTGTTCATCGTTTGCACACGTAATCAAAACAGCAGAAGTTGGGTCAATCTGGGGCAACGTGATCTTGAATGTGATCCGTCACTGCTCCACCGTGCAAACATAAAACCATCAGCTCATATTGAACCGCATAAAGGAGTTAGCGTGTTACTTTTAATGGATAATTAATCACGCTGTGTGGATTATACTAAGGTCAAGAGTATTATTGTGGGTCCAAATGAGAACCTTTGGGGGGGACTAAATCTTTTCAGGCATTAAAGAAACATATTATTGTGACTTTTTTTGTGTAATTTGCTCCAAATCCTATCTTTTGTTAATTACCGTATTTTCCAGCGTATAAGTTGCTCCGGAGCATAAGTCGCATCAGTAAAAAAAAAAAGCATAATGGAGAGGAAAAAAACATATACAGTAGTCCCTCGCTACTTCGCGGTTCGTTTATTGCGGACTCGCTCTATCGCAGTTTTTTTTTTAATAAGATTGGACATGACACACAATTGGCTGATTGATGGATGAGCCGCACGATCGGCATGGAATTTTTATTTAAAATAAATTATTTTAAATCATTTAGCACCTGCTGCACCTTTGTGCAGCCCAGAGCTGCATAAAAAGCTTCCTCCTGCTACTTTGTGCAGCCCTCACTGCAGGATAAACTTCCTGCTGCAGCTGATCAGCTCTTCACAGTGCAGAGCGAGGAAGTGGGCGTGGCCAAGAGCGCTTGCAGATGGCAAAGAGCAGCGAAGGCAGGGAGCTGAAATCGTGACATTCTGTGCTCTTTTAGAGCGTTGAGAGTTTAGAAACATTGTTTAGAATATTTCAAGAGTGTGGGAAGGGTTTAAGACACCTTTATATGAACATATATTACATATATATATATATATATATATTCCGAGACCGATCTTCTCTCCTTCCTAACGTTGCACGTTCGTGGTGAGTCGTATTCTATCACGTCCTGTAGCTCGAGTAATTTGTTTGCTCGAGTCGTCTTTTGGTTTCTGGATTTATCTGTTATTTGCACAGTTTTTCATTTTAGATCACAAACACCCTCAGTGCAGCTGTTTTTCTACTCTTAGATAGCGCTTGAAACACCTTGTATCTTTCAACACTTCTCAGTTTTTATTGGTGTATTTGGCTCTGCTA